AAAAACACCAATACACTAACCAAAAATACACCTACAGCCTGCCAAACACACACCTACAGCCTGCCAGGCAAAACGATAAGAAGAGTTACTTTACTTATGGAACTGTACGATGGTACCAATATTTTCGTCCCTAGCATATTCATCCCCGAGGAAGGCAGTCGCCAAATTCACCGAAGGTTGTTTACTGGTTATATTGTGATGGGAATAACTAATGAAAAATACAAATTTAGTGCAAATTCTACATTTTCAATTCTTTAAGTGCGGAAAGTTTTGTTTGCACCCTTCTCAAACACCAATATCACCTAATTTACTGTAGGTTAAGTACAAATGTCGCGCCGTGCATGCGCATGATTCATACATATTTTAGTAGTAATATATTCGCCTAAAAAGTCTAACATATTTCATACTTGAATACTTGAATTCGAATTCAGCGGCCATTGTGTAAGGACGGTGTATAAAGGCTTAGATTTTGTGTGAAAGACAAATTTGTATTTGGAACGGAAATTGTTAGCTAAAATTGTGTAAATTGTTAAAAAATTACAGCATTTGAAGGATCGAAGCCGGAGTGCAGTTTTTTTACGCAGAAGTCGAATTTGAAGTGGCTTTTTTGGTAAGTTTCTTTTTGTACTGTTGGGTGCCTCGTGGTTGTGCGTGCGGCTGTGAGACAAAATGGAGGACGCTTCAGCGCCCGATGGCGCTGAGGCAATTTCTTCTGACTCTAACTTGCCTGCAAATTGGTTTGCAGAGGTGCAGAGTTGGAAGAGTGTTAAGCGTAGAAGAAGTAGAAGAAGGAATATCAAAGGTATTAATGATGGCGTATTAGAATCAGGTACGGACGAAGATTGCAATAAGCAAGCAAAAGTGCTTAATGGAAAACCGAATAAGTCGAACAAAATTAAGGATCAGCAAATACCGATGCAAGGTTTAGTGGTTAAAAAAGGTTTTTTTGACAACATGGACGAAAGTACAGTTGCACAGACGGTTCGTAATATGACAAATTCTCAAAGTGAGATCACAGACACACTTTGCAACTTGGACAAGTGTACAGTTATGCAAAGCGTTGGCAACGTGACAAATTTGCAAAGCGAGAGTACAAATGCAGTGGGTTACACTAATGGGCAAGGCGTTAGCAGCAAGAGTAATAACGATGAGGCAAGGTCAAGGATGGTGAGTGTAAATACTTTTACATACTCAAGCAGCTACAAGGGTGACTTTTGTGTGTTGTTCGACACGTCTAAGAGCCCTTTATGTGAAAATGATAGGATGAGAAATGGACTTTTTTTATGGAACAAAATGAAAAATTTCAAAGTTGAAGGGATTAAGACTATAAAAGCGGTAGGGAGATCTCTGTTTAAAATATATTTCTACACGCATGAAGATGCTAACAAAAGTTTAAGCAATCATTTGCTGGCAGTGAATCTCATTAGGAGCTTCATTCCTAAAAGCATGATTGAAACAGTGGGAGTGATTACGCAAATACCGACAGACTTCTCTGAAGTTGAGATAAAGAATAATATAGTATCTGATTGTAAAATTACCAGTGTGACCAGAATAATGCGCAGGGACCCAAATTGCAGAGACAATTTAATACCGACTCTGGCAGTGAAAATATGGTTTGAAGGGAACGAGATTCCTAATGAGATTAAAATTTTTTATGTAAACTTTAAAGTCAAGCACTTTGTACCCAGGGTAAAGCAGTGTTACAATTGCGGACGCTTGGGGCATACAAGAATGGGGTGTAGAGGCAGGAACAGATGCATTATGTGTGGTAAGGAGGAAAGTTGCGGAAGTCAGTGTGAGGTAAAAGCCAATAATTGCATTCTTTGCGGAAATGTGGGGCATACTTCGGTGAACAACAGTGTTTGTCAGGTATGGAAAAGGGAAAAACAACTTCTGGAAATAATGACGATAAAGAAAATTTCAAAAAGAGGCTATAGATTCATACAAAGAGGTCATTGATAAAAATAATCGTTTTGCACTGCTGGATGATGATCAGGAGAATTTTCCTACCATTTCTGGGGCGCAAAATAACCGTGTAAATAATGATATGGTGGTTAACAGGAGAATAACCTCCTTTAGTTACGCGCATATGGCTAAAAGAAA